GAGAGATCCGTGGCTCGACTTGCCGACATTCGTCGTTGGTCGACGTGTCAACATCCACCTTTGCTCTCGCTCCTCAACGTGATTGCCGATACCAGAGAGAGAGAGAGAGAGAGAGAGAGAGAGAGACCAAATATGCAGGGCGTCCTCACACTAGCTTTATATTAAATGTACCTGACCAAATTCAAAATCAAACCTGGATGTACCTGACCGCAAATCCGTCCATAAAGAACTACTACAGTCGACCAAAACACAAAGCTTCACACAACCTGCAGCTAAAAGCGCGACCAAACAGTATGGCTCAGTTATGTCTTTTTTTTTTTTTTTTTGGGAGTCGTGTAAAGCGAACATGACAACCCAGACACACACAGAGAGAGAGAGAGAGAGAGAGAGAGAGAGAGAGAGAGAGAGAGAGAGAGAGAGAGAGATGGAGGGCTTACTCACACTACCTCTATGTTGAAGGTACCTGACGGTCCTGACCACATTCAGGGTCACACCTGGATGTACCTGACTGCATATCTGTCCGTACGGAATTAGTACGCAGGTGTCTGGAAAGATACGCACAGGCACGCACAAACACACAGAGCAAACACAACACAAACGAGAGAGAGAGAGAGAGAGAGAGAGAGAGAGAGAGAGAGAGAGAGGCGCACAGAGCAGTTGTAGAGATAGACCTGGCTCCACTATTGGCCAAACATGCAAAATGAGAAGGAATCTTACCCTTCAACAAGGGAAGATACATGGCCATATTTTTGGCCTTTTGTGTATATGGAAAGTAGAGGAGCGAGGCAGTTTATCGGAGCAGTTCCAACGAGCGGGGAGGCGCGCTTACAACACACAAGAGAGAGAGGTGGGAAGAGAGACAACACAGCAGGCTAAATGTATCTGGACCTGTCCTCCGTTTGATACATTTAAAATATGGGAGCCCCAACGTGGTTCGGTTTCTGGGTTTGAGAGTTTTCTTGAAAGTGTATCGGGCTGTATTACGGGCCCGGTACACTACAGTGCTGCGCCAGCCTCTGTGTTGAACTTACCGGTGTGGAAGGATGACGCTTCCCATTCTCACAGGGCAACCGCCAGGTCACATTATTTTTCAATTTCCTTATTTTTAATTCACTTTTCTAAGTTACTTTTTCAGGGAAAGATGACCGCCCTCTATCTAAACAGAGTGTGCTCTAGAGATAAGACGCCCCTCGCATGCATTTTCTTTTCGCTTTTCAATGCATGGCCAATGGGAGAGTGGTTCATTTTCATTTGGAAGACATGAAAAAAGTGAAACAAACCAAATAGTTGAAGAAAAAAGCAGAGCCGCTGGTGGGTGCAGCTCCTGCATGTTCCCCCGTTAGAGGTTTGAGCACGGATGTGGCTGCTACGGGGTTCCCCGTAATACTATAATGACAATAAAAAAAGACCTGAAAGGCCGTCCTGTCCAGATTTGACAGGTAATTGAATTGGTTGGGCTTAAAAAATTAGCCTTAAAAAAAAATAAAAATAAAAATAAAAAAAAAAATAGAGCCCTAAGATCTACGTGGAATGGGCGGCCCTTACCGATCTGACTACAATGTTTTACAGAAAAAAAATACATCTGCCCTCGGATATAGCTAAGGCTAATCCGGGTGCTAGTGGGATCATACCCCCGCTCTCGCTTCCGAATGGCTGCACTCCAGCGCGGTACCTGTAATAATTTTTTTGCCTGCCCATACCCAATTTGCTTGTTTGCAGCCCGTCAGGGGTGCGTTTTATGCCCTGGGAACATTGCGTTTTTTATGCCTTGGGAACATTTTTCTTCGTCGTCACCAAAAGGTGCGGTAGTTGGAAGGGTGGTGTATTTGCTAAGGGTCCAATTCGTGGGAAATAGGCAGTTCAAGGAAGTGAAGGACCGGTAGCTGCCCGTGGTATTAGGGTCTTGAAATTTCGAATCTGAAACGGCGTGGACGCAGGCCCTGTGGTGAGGTAGGGCGGGTTTTTAGGGGGGGCGTCGACTGGAAGGCGCAAGCGGGTCCAATCTTGCAATTTTCGAGCGCCAACTTTGGCGATTTTTCGTATGCAAAATAATTGGAGAAAAGATCTGAAAATTTGATATCGGGTAGGCCAGGTCGTGATCTTTCCAGGAAACATATCAACAAAATAAAATAAAATCGTTTAGACCATGAAATAAATGCTGCGCCAATTCGTCACTTTTTCCATTTTTGGCAGACGATAACTTGTGGACCAACGGGAAACATACCCCTATTTCAAAAAAAATTCACACTCAGAAGAACTCGTAAACAAGTCTGAAAATTTGAGGGTCCATAGATTTGGTCATGATCGTTTAAGGAAAAATGTTTTAAATTTTTTTAAAAATTGTCTCAACTGCGAAATAACTTATAGCGCAAATTCATCTCATTTTCCATATTCACCACTCTGCCGGTTCTCCACTCTGTTCGCAGCCCGTCAGGGTTGTGTTTTATGCCCCTGAGACATTTTTCATCGTCGTTCGTTATACCGGTCGTTCATTCAGGTCCATTGGTCGTTGAAAGGCTGGTAAAATGAAAGGCACGGGCATTTAGGGGGGAGCGGCAGTTCAAGCAAATGCAAGACCGGTATTTGCCTGTGCCATTTTCCTGGGAACCGGTAGGTGGCCGTGGTCCAGAATATTTCCAAAATGTTTTGAAACCGCGTGGGGGCCGCAGGTCCTTGAAATTCAAATATGAAACGGCATGGACCCAGACCTACAACCTCATGCCCAACCCACCCATTTCGGCCCAATCGGCCTAGTTCGCAGCCCGTCAGGGTTGCATTTTATGCCCCTGAGACATTGAGACATTGAACATTTTTTTTCGTCGTCACCAATCGGTGCGGTAGTTGGAAGGGTGGTGTATTTGCTGGGGGTCCAATTTGTGGGAAATACGCAGTTCAAGGAAGTGCAGGACCGGTAGCTGCCCGTGGCATTAGGGCCTTGAAATTGCGAATCTGAAACGGCGTGGACGCATACCCTGTGGTGAGTTAGGGCGGGTTTTTAGGGGGGGGGGCGACTGGAAGGCGCAAGCGGGTCCAATCTTGCAATTTTCGAGCGCCAACTTTGGCGATTTTTCGTACGCAGAATAATTGGAGAAAAGATCTGAAAATTTGATATCAGGTAGGCCAGGTTGTGATCTTTCCAGGAAAAATATCAACAAAATAAAATAAAATCGTTTAGACCATGAAATAAATGCCGCGCCAATTCGTCACTTTTTCCATTTTTGGCACACGACAACTTGTGGGCCAACGGGAAAAGTACCCCCATTTCAAAGCTTTTTCACGCTCAGAAGAACTCGTAAACAAGTCTGAAAATTTGAGGGTCCGTAGATTTGGTCATGATCTTTTTAAAAAAAATATTTAAAAAAAAAATAAAAAATTGTCTCAACCGTGAAATAGCTTATAGCGCAAATTCATCTCATTTTTCATATTCACTACTTTGCCGGTTCTCCACTCTGTGCTACTGGTAGCCCTCATGGACTTGTGCTACCGGTCCCACGAATTTCCAACGTCAGGTAGAGTAGTGGTTTGAATTCGAAGCCTGTCATGGTCGAAATCGAAACAGACGAAAAGCAGCGGCGGCCGCTCCCATTCCCTTTGCGTTCACAAAGTGATAGTCTCCCTGTGTGCGCAAGGAGCGTGGTGCCTTATCGATCAAGGCGTTTTGACAAAGTGGCGCCGTGCCTGATTTCTCTCTCTCTCTCTCTCTCTCTCACACACACACACACACACACACACACACACACACAAAACAACAACATCAACAAACAACTTGAAACCACGGGCTGCGCACCCGTGCCACGGTAAGTCAATCACTGTTCTGGATGATTTTGTCTGAATCTGGAAGCAGTTCTGAGCCAGATTCAGAAGCAGAGATGTTCTCTCTCTCTCTCTCTCTCACACACACACACACACACACGCATACACACGCACAGGGCCTCGCCACAGCCCAAACCAAACAAACTACGGGCTGCGTACCCGTGCCCTCACGGTGAGTCAATCCAGAAGGGTACCCGTCCCTACCCCCAACCTGCCGGTTACAGTTGGGTACGGGTGGGTATGGGCGACGGTTACCCGTTGCACTCTCATTGAATTCAAGGTGTTTTTTCTCGGACCCTGATTTCCACCCTGCGCGCCGAGCCTGAAATCGACCGGTACCACCACATGGGAGAAAAAAGAAACCGAAACGGCATGTCGACCCGTGCGGCTCGGCGCTACACGCAGCGGGTTTCTAGGGTTGGAGAAACGTGCCTTCGAAGTACTGGGGGGGGGGCGGACGGAGATAAACTGGAAGGGAAGAGAATGTGTAAGTTTTGATCTCTGCTACTCAGTTGTGGTTGTCCTCGTGCAGTGTGTGGAAGCGTGACGGTTGACGTTGAGTGAGCGTTTGAGGAGGGAGGAGAAGGGCGAGATGGTTGCAGTCTCTCTTGGTGTATTCATCTTTCCGGCGCCCGGGCTTCCTTCGCTTTTGCTTGCGTGACTGCCGATTGGTATGCGTGCTGCAGACGAGCATGAAATGAACGGTTCATCGTAAGCGGAGTTAGGTTCATGATACGCGCGTGAGTGTGTGTGTGTGTGTGTGTGTGTGTGTGTGTGTGAGAGAGAGAGAGAGAGAGAGAGAGAGAGAGAGAGAGGGGAAGGGTGTGTGGAAGAGAGAGAGAGAGAGGGGAAGGTTGTGTGGAAGAGAGAGAGAGAGAGCGGAAGGGTGTGTGGAAGAGAGAGAAGGGTGTGTGGAAGAGAGAGAGAGAGAGGGGAAGGGTGTTTGGAAGAGAGAGAGAGAGGGAGGGGAAGGGTGTG